CCATCCTCCCACCTCAGCCTCCTGCATAGCTGGGACTATACGCACATGCTACCACACCTGGCTAATTTTTGTATTTTTTGTAAAGACGGGGTTTCACCATGTTGCCCAGGCTGGTCTCGAACTCCCAAGCTCAAGTGATGCACCCGCCTTGGCATCCCAAAGTGCTGGGATTACAGGCATGAGCCAGCACGCCCAGCATAGAAGACCCTAAATACTTACCCAAGAGTCATATTAAACGTTTAGAAGTCCTTGCAATTTCCATTGACAGTGATTCACATATCAGTAAACCAATATTTTGTTATTTTCATACTTCTGAAAGTTGTTTTTGGGGAAATAAATGCCGTTTAACTCGTAGGGCACACATCAACCCAGATAAAATGTACTTACTTGGTCTTTCTCACGGTCACTGCCACTACTGGGAGGGAAAACTGGCAAGACTAAATTGAAAGAAAACAAGTACACAACATATACATTAACTCATGAGGCATAAAAATTCACTACTCCCTCTCCCAATATGCTAAGGCTAAAAGCAATTCCCACTTCCTACAGCTTCCTGAAATGTCGCCTCTTAAGATCCTTTCTATATTCAACCTTGCTCCTCACCATTCAGTTCCTCACCACTCAGCATGAATTCTCTGCTCCAGACTTTGTCCCTGAATGTCACCCTCACATCCTTGTTGTGCCCTTGTAGTTTGTTTTGTTTGAGACAGGGTCTCACTCTTTCACCTGAGCTGCAGTGCAGTGACGCGATCACTGCTCACTGCAGCCTTGACCTCCTGGGCTCAAGCAATCCTCCTGCCTCAGCCTCCCGAGTAGCTGGGACCACAGACACACACCATCATGCCCAGCTAATGTTTTAATTTTGTAGAGGTGTGGTCTCACCACATTGCCCAGGCTGGTCTCAAACAACCCTCCCACCTTGGCCTCCCAAAGTGCTGGGATTAGAGGCGTGAGCCACCATGCATGCCCTTGTGGTTTTACCTGCCTAATAATGTTTCCCTTTCTCCTCTTCACAATCCTATTCTTTTTTCCAAGGGTTAAAAATCAAGTCCCACCCACCTCTTCCTTGAAGATTTTCCTGATGATTCCAGCTCATGACAGATTCCTCTTATCTGAATTTCTACGCCATTTATACAAAACTCATCTGTAACAACTGTTGGTTAATTTCACGTTCTTCCATCTCATGTACACAGTACATTTTGCCTTTCCAGTGTAACTGTAGCAGGGAAAGCTGGCCCCATGATCATATCTTTCTTTGGACCCACTCCCATTACATACCGAAAAATAAATATCTCATTTGAAAATCACTATTTGAAAAGTGATTCAAAAGAAGACATGCCAGACTTACTGCTCATACTACTTCTGGTTCTTGTCTTCTTTCTACCAGAATATGATTTTAGGGATTTCCTTTTTTGGTTACTGATCCAAGACAGTTCACTGGTACTCGAATCTTGATCACTCTCAGAGAAGAGATGTTTTCTGTAATGAGACTTCTACAAGCACAGATCATAAATGAGAATTTTAAAGGGGTGTTAGTGCCTCTTATGTACAACTAAACATATTCTACAAAGCTAGAGATAAGAGAAGTACCCTTCTAGAAGCCTGGGCTTTCTTATATAATATAAAGGCAAAGAAGTATGGAGAGGAAGTAAAGGATTATTCCATCAGTCAATTCGCAACCAAGTTGCTGTTGTACAGGATGACAAAATCCTTTCTAATAAAACGTTTGCAACAGAAGAGATGCTGGATGACTGTTCAA